TTGTTGTTATTTCACTTTTGCGCGCCGGGCACGGGGCGGTCGCGCCACCCCGGCCCCTCCCGTTTTCCCCGCCCCGCCCGCCCCGGCCCTGCAGGTTTTCGCGGCGCCCGCGTCAAAGGGGGGATCCGTGGTCGAGATTGGGGAAGGGGCGTGGTTGTATTTGGTTTTTGGGGGTCTTGCGCGATTCCACCTGCCGTTTGTTCTTTTTTTTTTCTTCCTTCTTTATTTTGCTTTTTTTTTTGAGGTCGGATGTGCTGCGCTGGCAATGTATTCGCATTTGCGCACGTGGTGCTGTCATGCGTTCTTTCTTTCCTTTTCCCTTTGTCCATACCTTCCTTATAACCCCGAAGGATAGAGAGGGAATCACTTATCCCATTCTCTCAAGGCAGATTTCTTCTAGTTGCTGTTTTTTTTTCCTTTGTTCCCTTTGCCCCCTCCCTTTGCGGCACTTTATGTAGCCTTGCGGGAGGGCCAGATGCTAAGTATTCCGCTAGACTGTGAATGTTCCTACGAGGAGTTTAGAAAAACAATATATTATCATGCGGAAACCTTTGACATCCCGGATCTCCCGCCGGAGAAGCACCTTATAGTGTGCGAAGAGGTATATAAGAAGGCGAATGAGGAGCTTGATGCGAGAGTTTTTGATCTTGCTTACTACTATTTTTGGAGGTGCCTTAAAATTATTGAGAGGACCGGACTCCGCAAGCAACTGAGTGGTGCAAAACCGCTAATGGGCAAGTGTCTGGACTCCATCGAACGGCTAGATAAAAATGAGTTGTTGCAATTCTACGCGGAAAAGATACGAGAGGTTAGGGAACACAAGGAAGAAAGGAAGCGCATGGTTGAGAAACAGCTTCTTCCTGATGAAGTTGAGCATGGATCGTTGGGGGATAACCACCATAAGCTACGGCAGGAGCTTTCTGTGAAGGAGGACACGCAGGTTGATGACGTACTAAAAACAATAAGAAATTTGCAAATACACACGCATCCCTCTCAAAAGCAGGAATCTAAGAGACGTTATTGGGATGATCGGAATCGTGAACGTGTTGCTGTTTCCAATGATGACATAGCTCCTCATAGCAATATCCCAAATGCGTCACCTAATGCTTATCTTGTTTGGAAATTTAACACTGGCGCTTTACCTGTCTCTAGTCCTAGACGAGGAATGGTGAATCTTGGGAACACTTGCTATCTTAACAGTGTTATTCAAATGATTTCTGTGACATCCTTGGCGAAATATTTTCTTCGGGATGCTTACCAAAATAGGATTGCTAATGCTCACAATGGGGAATTAAGACTTGTAAACTCCTTCAGTTTTCTGATGCGTGAACTATACCGATCTGATTGTAAGGGTCCAGTTAGTACATCAAGTTTTAAAACTGCTGTCGGTGAAATTTATAGCTCGTTCCAAGGCCACTCACAGCAAGATGCAAATGAGTTTCTTCGAGTCTTGTTGGACAACATCCATAACAGCCTGAACAGTCGGAAAGCTGTCATGGATGAAGTTCCTGAGATAGACACAACAAAAGGTAGTGATAAGGAGATGTCAGAACGCAACTGGAATTATTATAAAAAGAAGAATAATTCCGTGATTGTAGATAAATGTGCGTTTCAAGAGAGAAGTTCTCTTCTATGCCCTTCTTGTAATAAAATTAGTAGGTCGTTTACCCCTTCATTAGGGTTGGAGGTACCCATTCCTTCTCGCAGGGGTAAGGTAAGCATCGAGGATTGCTTGCAGGAATATTGCAAAGAAGAAACACTTGCTGCAGACTCACTGTATACATGTCCTTCTTGTAAAAAACGGGTTCCTGCTTCAAAACAGCTCTTGTTATATTCATTGCCTAGTATTTTGTTTCTGACAATTAAACGTTTTCGCAATTATGCTGATTTCTCAGACAAAATCGATGTGCCCGTAGTTTTTCAGAAGGAATTAAATATGTCCTATTTTATGTGTTGTACCGATGTGAAAAATACGCTATACACCCTTGTGGGGGTTGTAAATCATCGGGGAAATATACATGGGGGACATTATACCGCGGACTGCCGTGGCGACGATGGAGTCTGGTTTTCATTCAGTGATGAAAATTTCTTCAAGGCCGAGGAGCCAAACTACCAACTAGCGTATATGTTATGTTATATACGCAATACTTGAATAAAAGCGTAAAAAAAAAATAGTTATTCATATTTCATGTATCGTATAGTGTTCTTCTTCAAAATAAAAAAAGATGAACAACTCTTAAAGTGCGTTTCTTTTCTCCTTTATTTTTTCCCTCTTTTTTTTTATGTTTTACTCTTTTTTTTGTACAAAACAAATTTGAGAAATTGGGCTTGGCCTGTAGTATATTCTGCTTTTGTTTTGTTTTCCCTTTCGAGGTTAGACTGCCCTTGTTTGATGGGGCAAACGTGCTCAAAGAAGGCGAATGCGGCTGCATTGGAGGAACGGCGTATTGACCGAGAGAGGCGACTTGGTATCCTGCCAGCATGTAGGCCAAACCTAACGTGTCGATCCCATCCAGAAGCACGGGAAAACATGAGCTTGAACTTGAGCCAGAGTCATGCTCCTATTGGACAAAGAACTAGCCCTCTATTGGATAACAGGCCAGGGATGTCGCATATGCACCCTAAAAGAGGTTTGGATAGTAGCACATCTTTAATTGGACGTGCATCACGGAATACTGCTGCACGGCCAAGTCCTCAATTGTTTCCTTTAGGTTTTAATGCGCATACGCCTACGCAACCGGGAATGCACCTGCCAGCAACAACCACCCAGCCCCCGCTCAGCTACATGGGAGGAACAAGACCTAAAAGGTTGGATTGGGTGAAGCAAGGTGCAAATGTGCAAAGAAACGGCGGTGACAAGATGCATCAAGGTTTTGTAAAAGAGGATACAAAAATTACTGTTAAGCCCAAAATAAAACCCGTAGTAAGATTGGCCTTGAATCTACTCTGTGCGGAAGAGATACAGTGTCGGGCAGAAATCTCAACGGAGGCGATGGCAAAATTTAAGAGCTTGGAAGAGAAACTTGCCTCTATTAATGAGTTAGAGGCTGTTCGCATATCGGGTTTGGAACTTCTCAAGTTGCAATCCAAATCGCGTGAAGCTATTGTTGAGCAGGAAATGGGAGAACGACGTCTGTTGTTTTTTTGGATGAATCAAACCCTTGAAGAGGATCGATTGAAGGATCTTATTGATGCAGCACAGAGGCGACATAACACTTCCATGTCTTCTTTTTCTTCGACTTCAAATCGTGGATCCAGAGTTTCCGCGACTTATGATAGGCAAAGTGTGCGGACAAACAAAATGCGGAACAAGTCACTCATGGAGCGTCCTGTTTATCATGAACATGATAATGAAGAGGCGACGACAGAAAACGTATCACTCAAGAAAGCGATTGATTATTCAACGCCGGATTTGCGACGGATTGCTCCCGCTGAAGAAGACATACAAAGTGATGATCTTAACCGCAAAATAGGAAGACAAATGTATTTAATGCGTCAAACTATCCCCTCATGCTCATCGCAAAGCCTTCATCTTGTGCCTGATGCATCTTCTAATAATCTTTGCTTAAGTAAGGAGCGTCCTGACCCGGAATTTCGGCCATTAGAACAAGGGTCGCCGCCCCGGTTGGCAAATCTTCCGGAAGAAGAGCGTTCTGTGTCATATTCTAGATCCACGTTTCTTGACCCATTCAAGACGCCTCGAGGGAGAACACCTATAGAATTAAAAAACGAGAGTGATTTGGCGATGAAAAGGAGACTTGCAGCCCTTCTGATGGTGTAGTTGTTTTTATCGGTTTTGAACTCTTTGTGATTTTTTGTTTGTTTCTTTGTTTTTGTGTATATGTTTTTATATTATTGTTACTGTACATACGTTTCTTGCATTTTAACAGATTTTATCTATGTGCTCAAATACATTAAGATATCAAGCTGCCAAAGAAGAAATAAGAAGGGTAATTTTGAGCGATATTTGAGTAGAGATTGATTAACCTATAAGGATATCCCCCTTTGTGGCTTCTTCTTGTTGATTTTTGCCGTGTCCTTCCTCTTCTTTATCTATATGTGCATCCCATTACTTGCTTTCAAACGCGATTATATAGTTTTACTAGTTATGCGGCGTACATGTTTTTCGTCCTCCTCGACCAATATTTTGAATATTGTCTCTGCTTTGACGGAAAAACGGGGCGATGTCGTGAAACTGAGTACGCTTCTGGCCTCCCCATCACCACCGCTTCACTCCTTGTCCTTTGCTCCGCCTCCTAGATGGGCTGCGGAACTTTCTAGAAGACTTCAAAAACAATTTCCTGAACTTCAACGACAGCATCATGTTCTCTATATGCGTGCCTTTATACATCCTAGTTTCACCACACCTGATGCGATAAACTCAACAATGAACGCAGCAAGTCCTCTAGGTGAGGCTTTGCTGGCGTCTGTTGGGGGGTGCTTGATTGTAAACGCCTTTAAAGATCTAAAACGGGATGAGGTGCTTCTATTAATGTCCTTTTTATTGTCGGATGCCACTCTTAGCTCTATATTGCGATATCATTGGGAAATGGAGGATATGTTGCTCACCGATTCTTCAGTACAGCTATTTCAAGGATCGGCGTTAAGATCTACGGCGGGTTTACTACAATGGTTGACGGCAAATGGAAAACAGCAAACCCCTGACCCTTATTCTGCGGGATGTGTGAAGTCCCTAATTGGGGCTGTGTATCTAGATGGAGGCTTAGAAGCAGCAACCTCATTTATTTACAAACACATCTTGCAGAATATACAGTAAGCGTGTCATCTCTTAGATGTCAATGAGAGTTCTTTTTTGTTGTTATTTTTGTTCTTGTTTTGTTACATGTGGATGTTTCCTGTTAGTTTTACCTGCTTTTTCTAATGGAGATGCTCTTCTTGGTTGAAGCTCTTTTGTTGTTGTTGTTGTTGTTGTTGTTTCCCTCCTCTGTCCTTTGTTTTTCCTTATCGATATGCATTTATCAGGGGCAATGGCATCCTCGAATACCTCCGTTGCATCTGAGGAGTCTGAGGAGCTCTGCGTTCTTCTGGCCTATGAGGAGGTGGCTCCCACAAAAACCAAGGAGCAACTGATCAAGGAGCAGCTGCAAGAACTTTATGACTACGAGTTTCCTGTACCTGAACCTCCAGAAGATGATCCTTCTGGGAAATTGGCTTACTTGGATGCGTGTGAGCAGCTGCATAAGGAATCATTCATGAAGTTTCCCACCGAGAGTGTCGCACGAAGAATTTGCGATGGGAAAGAATCGCTTGACCTTAGTTTTTTTGGTCTCCGGAAAAAAGGCACCATTGCCTTGGCTGCAGCCTTGCGCGTTAACCTGTCTATTAAGACGCTCTCCCTCGTCGGAAACCACATGACGCCCGCCGGGGGAATGGAGCTGGCGCGAGCGCTATCGGAGTCGAGAACAGTTACGTCGCTTGATCTTAGTCAGAATAAGTTGGGCGGGCGCGACCCAGGTGAAACGGTTAGAGGTGGTGCAGTGGTGTCAGAACTACTGCGGACCGGCAATATCTTGAAAACGCTCTCGCTACGTGACAATGGGCTAAGCGACCAGCATGTCGCTGAGTTTGTTGAGGCCGCAACAGACAACACAGAACTGAATTCGCTTGATCTTAGCTTTAACAAAATTGGGTATCTTGGTGCGATTGATGTGGCCCAGATTCTTTCGCGTAATGCCGACCTGCGGGAAATTAATCTGGAGTGGAATCAGTTCCAAACAATGGGGAGTTGCTACATCCTCAAAGAGGGACTGCTGGTGAACAACACCATCAAACGCTTCAACTTAAGCTCGGATGGTTTGGATGACACCTGTGCACAGCTTGTGGGACGAATTATTGGCGAAAACGCCATTGAGGAAATTATCATAGCCCATAATAGAATTGGGCCCGGCGGCGCCGAGGCTATCGCAAAGGGTTTGATGGCAACCTCCGCACTCACAACGCTCAATTTAGACGATAACCCGCTTCAAAGCGAGGGATGTTCTGCACTTATTCGCGTTGCCGTTGAGGCCGCTACTCTTAAGCATCTCAGCCTGCAACAGTGTCGGTGCAGCGCGGAGGTGGTAGGCGAGGCCGAAAGGCTGACGAGAGAGGTTCGACAAGACATTGTTATTCTCATATCCGAGGATTGCTGCCCCAAAGAAGTGATGTAGCTATTTCAGGAAAAGGAAAGAAAGTGACGAAGGCAAGGAGTCGGTAGTCCTGCGCGATGTAACGTGAATTGTGCGAGTCAAACAGGCAAAGATTCCTTATTATGGGATTTTTTGTTTCTTTGCCTCTTCTCCATGTATTTTTTTTTTTTTCGTTCTCTCTTCTCTGCCACGTGTGTTCCTACGTGTGTCGCGGCGCCAGACTAAGTTGCATTGTGCCGTGCTGGGTATTAACGCACCATTATTCGTGAAACCATCCGTTTTGTTGTTTTTTTTGTTGTTGTTGCTGCTTCTGAAAATAATGATACTCATGAGAGTTGACGCGTCACACGATGATGGATGATATTGAGGCCACGCTTAACCGCATGGTGGCGTTTCCGCCCGGAACTTCGTCACGAGAAGCAGCAGTGGATTTGCAAAACACCACTCGTGCTCTGGAGCTGGCGGACCAAGTTCCTCTCTTGACGGAGACGTGCATGTCGCTTTGCGTTGAGTTAATGGAGAACTCATGTGCCCAGTCTGCCACCGTCCATGCGGTGTTGACGCTGCTGGCTCGCTGTTGCATGCGGGAGGAAAACAGGGGACTAGCAACGCGTTTTGGCGTTTTTGGTTTATGCATTCTTCTTCTTCAAGTCCACAGGAGCTTACCAGAAGATACACTTTTTGCCACCTTTGATCTGATTAGTACGCTCTGCATGAATGACGGGAACACGCGTAGGATGTTACGTCCCTCGATTCCTTACGTCATAGAGGTCATGCGAGAGCGGGCAGAGTCACTCCAACTAGCGTTTGGGGGCGCGGTTGTGTTGGCCACCTTAACGATGCTTGACAGCGCCAATGCAACCCTTGCTGTGGAACAGGGTTGTGTTCAACTGTTGATTGCCTCCTTTATCGGCGCGTATGATAAAAGGCGACAGCTGGGGTGTCGGCGCGCCCCTCACGCGCTACAGAGTAAAAAGGAAGAGGAGCAGCGGCTGTGTGAAAACGTTATGCGTTGGTCACGTGATGCCTTGCGGAAGCTGGTTCAATCCCCTTCACCTGCCGTAGATGAGAAGTTGGAGGCGGCCGACTTTGGAAACTACGGCAGCCGCGTTGAGGTGGACGACCTGAAGTGGACGCTGAAGTTTGAGCGAAGAAAGGCGAGGGCCAGTCCTCCGTGACTTGCGCAGTGCCGCGGGATGGGGTGGCGAGTGCAGACGTTTATACGCGTAACTACCTACGTAGGTATAAATACGTCTCTGCGTGTGTGGGTGGGTGGCTGTGTACGGCGTGGCTGAAGCACGCCCTCTCGACGGGAGGGCGGCGCCTCGCTGCCCTTTTTGCATCAGTGGGACGATGGAAGAGCGTGTCGCGTTTCCCACGACTGGTCGTCTTCGTCAGCAAGTAATACCAATGTGTGACTGTTGTTGTTGGTTGTTGTTGTTTTGTTCCTGTGGCTTGCCCCTCGCCTGTGCGCTGCGAGTGACTTCTGCTTCTTTTTTTTTTTCCGTTGGGGGGGGGGGTTGCGCCTCCTCTACTGTTTCTTTCCCTTTGAAAGGAAAACAGCTGCAAGTGCGTGAGAGAGGTAAAAAACAAAACAACAAAAAAAAAGGAAATGAGTGGATCGGACACCAACGCTGCCAACGTTACCGGCATGAACAACAACGCCGTAGATTCCATGTTGATGCGCCTTAAGCTAACGGATTTAATTCCGAGGTTCCGGGAGATGAAGCTGGATCGCCTTGTAAACCTGCGCAAGATGAGCGCTGATGAGCTTCGCGAGGCCGTCCCTGATGATGAGCAGCGGAGTCTTCTCATTCACGCCATTTCAAACCGCGGCTCGCACGATAAGAGGCAACAGTCGCAGGCGGCCAACTTAAATCCCCCACGCAACGCAGATGATGGGGGCCGTGTTGGCCTGCCTTTCCCACGTGGATCCGCACGCGGTGGCATGGGACGTGGCAGTGGCCGTGGTGGTCGCGGCGGCGGCAACGGCGGCGGCGGCAACGGCGGCAGCGGCAACGGCGGCAGCGGCAGCAACGACGACACGAATACCTCCTTCCCCGGTAGTAAACGTGCGTGCAACCACTTTTTTTCGGGGGGGTGCAAGTTTGGCGACCACTGCCGCTATAGTCACGACAAGGAGGTTTACGATAAGGAAGTCGCCGAGCATGGGCAACCCCAACGTCCCCGGGAGGCCATTGGTAACACGGAGGACTACTCTGAGATCTGCGAAGTTCCCACGCATCGAATCAAGTTCCTCCTTGGTAACAAGGCTGAGCGTCTCAGGGAGATTCATGCCGAAAATCACACGCACAACAAACCTTTTACGCGCGTCGAAAGTGATATTGAGAAGCTTGAGCTGGTATTGTACGGTTCTGACCCGCAATCAGTTCTGCAGACAAAGAAGATGATTCTTGCACTCGTTGGGGTGAGAAAGGAGGAAGAGCAACGAAACCGTTTGCAGTACACAATCAATGAGCTGCAGAGTAACCAGCATTCGGCCAAGCTTCTAGCTGCTTGCAATCTCAAGAACGAAGGAACCGCACGTGAGCTCTCGGAGTCGTCGTTGAAAAGCATTATTTCATTCTTCCGTTTCGAGAAGCAGCAGGACATTCGCCACTTTTATTTGAACATCAACCATGACCGCCTCAAACTGGACAAAGTGGCGAAAATAGTTGCCCAGCTGCGGGGCGTTCAGGCCATCATGTTCTGCGATCACAAACGCGTGATGGAGATGAGTAAGGTGTCCGCAAAGATTGCTCGGTTTTTCAATGGAGTGATGCCACTGTTTTTGCACCGTGAACTTCCAAAGGCGGAACGCATGCAGGTTCTCCAAGAATTTAAGGACGGCGAGGAGAACGAGAACGGTGTTCGCGAGCGCCTACTCATCACCAACGAGGACTACGCGAAACTGGCAAGAAAGACGCTCATCCCGTACGTCAACCTCGTCATCAACTACGTGGTGCCGCGGACGGAGGAGTACTACCTCCTGCAGTCGCTCGTGGCGGGGCGCAACGGCACTGTAGGGGCTTCCATTCTCTGCGTTGGCGCCTACGACCGCTCCACCTTCCACAACCTGCAGCAGAACATCCCGTTCACGGTGATTGAGGAGGAGAGCGACTTTGCGGAGACGGCGGTGCAGCTTGTGTACGACACGACGGCGAATCCCCTCACCGACGAGGACGCCGACCCCCCGAAGGACTGGCGGGAGAAGTTGGAGGAGTTGGAGAAGAAGAAGGGCTCCGCCTGAGAGCCATGCCGGGCTGCCTGCCGCCGCTCCCGCGGTGCCGCCGGCCCCATAACAAACACCGCGAAGCGGCGGAGAAAAAGCACGCACAGAAGAAGAACCTCAAGAGGGGAAATGAAATAAAAAAGAAACAAAAGAAGGAAAGAAAAAGAAAACTAGAAAGGAAAAGTAAAACGAAAAATAAAAACAACGGAAAGGACGGTGGTGAGAAATTTATAAAGAAGTGGAAGAAGAGGACAACAACGTGAAATAAAAACAGGAAAACAGGAGGGGAAAAAAGTAGACGAGTGAGGCGAAAAGAAACCAGCACACAAAAGGCGAGATACCGTCCCCTTAGTTTCGCTCCTTTCCTGCCTCTCGTATCATCTTCGTTTCTTTTCTTTTCGTTTTTGTTTTCG